TTGAGATGGAGTCTCGCTGTGTTGCCCAGGCTGGAGTGCAGTGGCATGATCTCGGCTCACTGCAACCTCTGCCTCCTGGGTTCAAGTGATTCTCCTGCCTCAGCCTCCCAAGTAGCTGGGATTGCAGGTGCCCGCCACTATGCCCAGCTAATTTTTGTATTTTTAATAGAGATGGGGTTTCACTATGTTGGTCAGGCTGGTCTCGAACTCCTGACTTCCGGTGATCCACAGGAGGAGGGATTTTCTAGTTTCAGCCAGTCTGGATGATCTAGACTTGCTCCAGTGTTCTGCTGGAAGTCTTGAATTCAGAGAAGCCGAGAGACCAGGGTCTTTGTATTGGAAGGGACTTCAGAACTCATCAGCCAAATGACCTGGCCTGGGGGCGGCTGTGCAGCCCTCAGAGTGGACAAGGATGCAGGGGCTCGGGAGTCAGGCTGTGCAAAATTAAATGCAAGTATCACCACTTCTGTGTAACTCTGATTGGTTACCTAACTCCTCTGAGACTCGTTTTCCTCATCTGGGCAATGGGGAGAGATGTTAAGGTTGCTGTGAGGATTAAAGATCATGCATGTTAGGGCCTGGCATAGGTCAGGGATACACCAGGGCATAGCATGTTGGATAAAGCCAAATTTGAAACCCTCCTAGAGGCCGTGTGACCTTGAGCCTGGTACTTCACTCTTCTGTAGAGATGAGATTGTACCTGTTGCCACACTTAATAGAATTAGAAATAATAGAGCCCGAGGACCTGGTGACAGGTAAACACATAGCAGGCGTTAATAGATGGTGGTCTGTTGTCACCCTGTGTGCTTCTACGTTTATGTTAAAGCCTAAGTTAGCTTCTAAGCGAGGGCCGGACACTTAGGAGGCATTTGATAAATATTTGTTGAATGAACAGCTGAGTGTTGGGAATGAACTGTACTTATGAATGAATAATGCAAAAGAGCTAGGCCATCTGCTGCAAGAAAGACACTGCACTATACCCAGACTCAGAGCCACTGGGAGAGCCCCCTGACCCTAATTCTTTTCCCCAAAATGATGTCATTGCAATCACCTGGGGCAGGCTAGCCAGCCAGTCTCTGGGACAGGAGCTCAGGTGGCCACAGTCATCTGGGCCCCAAATGCCTAGAGGGTATTGGGCAACTCCCAGAACACCTTTGCTTCCTGTCTGTGAGTTGGGCTGGTGATTCTGCCTTTCAACAGGAAGAGAGGCCTCTTCCTCCCAGGTTTCTGGCCTGGGTTCTGAGCCAGTCACCATGTGTAAGAGAGTTCACTCCCCAACCCCAGAGGTCCCCTTTGGGCTCTGAAAGGGTTAATGCCATCGGCAAAAGAAACAGCCAGGCCGGGTTCTCAGGGATCTTCACAGGATCCTGTCTGGGTCAAGTACTGGGCTGGGTGCTGGGAACACAAACAGCCATGGTGTTAAGCCACCAGTGTTGAGTGACAAGTCTAGGCACTGGCCTTGCTCTCAGGCTAGTTGGGAGACGGGCATTTAAACAGAAGGTGTGGCAAATCTCAGAAACAGAATGAAGCGTCCTGCTAAAAAACTAGAGGGGTAAAGATGAATCTACAACATCCGTGCAAATAACGACAGACACGGGCACAAGGGATGCATGGCTACATGGTTTATGACACTGAAAACTTGCAAACAGCCCCCATGTCCATGAGTAGGGGAGCAGCCATGTCAGGATGCAGCCGGAGCTGCAGGCACAGGTGGGGCATGCACCAGCCCCATGTCTGTTGGCCTCTTATTCCACTGCCCTCGGCTCCTGCCCTCAGCCCTGCCTATCACAGAGCCCATGGCCCTTGTTCTGCTGTGAGTGACCAAGTGTGTTTCTACAAAGAAGCTTTGCTTCCAAAGCGCAGCCGTTTTCCCTGAGTGTGAGAATGTGTGTGTGTATGTGTGTGTGCGCGTGTGTGTTACAAACCTAGTTTTGCATTGCTCCCTGTGTAATTGCAAATAACATGTACTCTCGTTTGCTCCTCCTCTCTCTCATCACTCCCCTGAGTCTCTGGTGGAGGACCCCAGGGCTCATCCCTCGGCCTTCTGTCTTCTCCATCCACACTCATTCCCTAGGGGAGCTGGAGATGTTGACATCTCACAGTTGTATGCTTTCCAGCCTGGTCCTGTCTCTTAAGCTCCAGAATCATGTGTTCAAACGTCCTACAGGGCATCATCACACCAAATCACACTTGGCAAAGCCAGGACCAAACTCCTGATCTCCACTGTGCCCACCCCCACCCCTTCCTCAGCCTTCCCTGCCCAGCTGCGAGCAGCCCCATCCCTCCAGGGCCTCAGGCTCCAAATTGCAGCGGCGGCCTCCATTCTTCTCTCTTTCTTAACACCCCTCATCCAGTCCATCTGCACCTCCTGTTGGCTGTATTGCATCACAAAATGTCCAGAACCTGACCCATCCTCCCCTCCTTCACTGCAACCACCCTGGCCTGAGCCCCACCGTCTGTCACCAGCCTGTCTGCAGTGGCCACTTCACAGGTCTCCTGGCCTCTTCGCGGATCCCCTACAGTCTGTTCTGACATCACAGCCAGAGTGATCACGTTCAAGCAAGTCGGTTCGTGGTCCTCCTCCTCTGCTCAAAATGACTTCAGGCTCCCCACGTTACTTGGAGCAGAGGCCAAAGTTCTTAGGATGCCTGAAAGGCCCTTATGATCACACCCCCGCCCTGGGCTGCTCTCCCCCCTCCCTCACTGCATTTCAGCCACACTGGCCTCTTTACTCTTTCTTGAACCCGCCAGGCATGTCCCTGCCTCAAGGCCTTTGCACCGACTGCACTGGCTGTTCTCTTGACCTGGAACATTCTCCCTCCAGTTTTCCACATTGGCACTCAAGTCTTGGCTCGAACGTCACCTTCTCTGGCCACCCTACTTGAAATTGCATTAGCCCCTTGCCCTGTGTTCCTAGTGGCCCTTATCCTGTCATTGTTCCTTTTTCTACCCCACTAACATACGATAGAATTCACTTACTGCATTTATTGCTTACTGGCTGTCTCTCCCAACAAAAACAAACAAAAAGGCTCTATGAAGGCAGGATTTTTGTCCGTTTTGTTCACAGCATATCCACAGTGCCTGGAACAGTGTCTGGCCATCAGCAGGCACTCAATAAGTATTCGAAACTGCTTTGGGGCTTGTCCTCTGTGGCTCATTCACAGCAAATTTAAACCCCAAACTGCTGAAGAAAATAAGAAAGCAAAGAAGAAACAGAAGAAAACAACCTCAGGAGACCTAAGACTTGGGGTAGAGGCCAGCCCTCTCACTGATGTGCTGCGTAACTGTGGGCAGGTCCCACCCCCTTTCTGTGCCTCAGTCTCCCCTTCTGCAGAACAAGGACTGGATTGGGTGTTCTCTAAGGGCCCTCCCAACTCTTAACAACGGGCAGCTCCCTCCTGCCACTTTCCAGTAGAAACTCAAACTAGTTCTAATCATGTGGTCAGCCAGAGAAATTGGGTTTATTAAGACTTACTGTGTGCAGGCAGTCACGTAGATGCGTCAGAACGTCAGAGCTGGCCACGTCATCATCTGCTGGTACAGAAGATAAGCTTTGAGCCTAGAGAAGGTGGTCTGAATTCAGATCCCCACTGTAGGGCTTGTGACACCTTGGGGGTCTCATTCAATCTCTCTAAGTCTTTGTGGCCCATCTACACATGGGCATCCTGATAGGACCCACTCCACGGGGATGTTGACATGGGGCAGGATTTGAACTAAAGCCTGCTTGATTCCACAGCCTGGCTCTGAATTAATAAGGCAAATTCTTTGCTTCGAAGCCAAAGCAAGCAAACAGAAATGAACACAAAATATCCAACCTGCCGAACGCTCTATGTTCACGCCAGACCCCCATGCATGCACCCTCTGAGTGCTCCTTGTTGGGACCCCTCTGCCACCCGCCAATTGCCTTATTAAAGGTAGCGCCTGGTACCAACGGCCCAGGTGCAGCCACATCTCTGTGGCCGCATGGGCGTCCCCCTGGCAGGTGTGGCCCACACCTGCACTGTCTTATCTGACAGCCAGAGGCCCTGGCAAGAGGCAGGTATCCTGGAGCATGCAGAGAACATCAGCTTCCACGCCAGGAAGCTCATCTCCTCCCAGCTCTACTGCATGCTGGCTCTGGCACTTTGGGCAAGAGCTAGTCACTTTTACTCTCTGAGTCTCAATTTTCCTTCTGTAAAATGGATTGTAATAATAAGCCCATCTATATCTTGTATCGAGATGTAGCTGTGATACAGTCTGGAAAGCACGTGTCATACAGACAGGCAGCTAATGAATCTCACACTCTGGAACTGGACACCTTTGGTTCCAATTCTGGCCCTACCACTCTCGAGCCGTGGAAGTGCTCTGAACCTCCGTTTTCTCCTCTGTAAAATGGGTACAATAATGGCACCAACCTCAGAGGGCTACTATGAGGGTGAAATAAGGGGATAATGGTACTACCTAGTTCACAAGTTTGTCTTAATGAGCTATTCCATGTGGTGCAGGAAAACATGCCTGGCGTAGAGAAAATACCAAGAATGTGAGCTGTCATGTGGGTGGCCCAGGTGGAGAGACTTGTCCCAAGCCTGGTTGCTCTTTGAACGTGTAGCCTGGCCTATGATCGCTTACCTAAAATCTCCCTGCTTTTCCCACCTTCTCCTTTCTGATACCCCTGTTTGACATAGGTGAGATTGGATAGATCAAGGTGTTCAGGGCCTCCAGGCAGGGATGGGGCTACGGGCACGTAGGACTGGGACCCAACCCCTCAGCCTGGACTCCACCCCACGCTTTCTGAGCCATCCATCCTTCTCAGGAAACTGACAGAGCTACCCTGCCACTGGTACCAGCATTGACACCCACCTAGAGGTCCAAGGGGCAGCCCCAGGGCAGAGGAGATTTTGAGAGCCCACACCCCTGACCTGAGTGGGGAGGGGTTGAGCCTCTGGGCCACAGACCGCAGGTGCTGACTCATGGCCTCCGCTGGGCGGTATAAAGGAACCAGCCCAGGGGCTTCCTACAGCCAGAGGGACGAGCTAACCAGACAATGGCCCAGGGCACATTGATCCGTGTGACCCCAGAGCAGCCCACCCATGCCGTGTGTGTGCTGGGCACCTTGACTCAGCTTGACGTCTGCAGGTGAGCGGGGGACCTTCTGGGGTTTTGGGGGCAGGTCAGGAGATGCTGGATAAGCCAGTTCTACTGACACAGAGCATGTGTTTGGCCCAGGCTCCAGGCTCCAGGCTCCAGCCTCTGCAGCCACTGCCAGGGGAGCAGCTGGAGAGAGAAGATCCCAGCAGCCGTGGGAAGTGCCAGTCTCATGGCTGTGGGTTTTTTGCCATGCACAAGTGCAAATTCCCCAGGACCACACCACAGATAAATTATTGTGGGGCAAACTAGGCCAGCCATCTTCCTGTCTTCATCGAGGCAACAGAAACTTACAGGGGGTCTGTGATTTGCTCAAGGTCACACAGCAAGTGTGCCCTGGAAGTAAGTTTAGCCCCTGGGCCTCCTGGTTCACAGCACAGTTTGTTACCCCACATCTCTTAGCTAAGCTTCTCTGTGGGTGTGTAATATGTGGGTGGGGATGGTGAAACGGAGCTCTCTGGCGTGGCAGAGACTGAGGTAGGAAGCCTGGACCTGCTGCTGGCTAGCTGAGAGGCCTTGAGCAACTGAGCCTCAGTTTCCTCATCTGTGAAATGGGGATAATACATCACGGGCTGGTTATAGGAATTCAATGTGAAAAAATGTGCAAATGTTGGTTGAGTACTTAGCACAGTGGTGGGCCCATCCCTGGTAGTTTTTATTCACTCATTTAACAGACGCTGTTTGCCATATGCCCGGTGGCAGGGTCTGGGTTAAACAGGAGAGTGGAGGAACGCTCTCAGGGAGTGTGCAGGGTCATTGTTGTTATCGCAGAACAGGAATTAAAAGAAATTTTAAAATGTGTAAGCAGAAACTCAGCTCTGTGTTCAAACAAACAAACAACAACAAAAAATAAACAATTTTCCCTGAAAAAAAAAAAAGATCTGGAGTCCCTTGAAAATTAACTGCCTGGTTTTTGTTTTTGTTTTTGTTTTTTTTTGTTTTTGTTTTTTTGTGGCCAGTGAGCCTTGTTGCTCCTCCTTTCCCAGGCATGGTGAAGACCCTGTTTCTCTAGCTGTGCAGCTGCAAGGCCACTAGACAGATACACTCAAGCCATAAAACATGTTTTTCCTTAAAAAGTAAAAAATAATATAATGCATGTCTCAATTAAATAACTGTCTTTATTTCTTTCCCCCTGCACAGATCTCTCCCCACCCTGTGAAATGCTTAAAATATAACTTAACTCTTTGTTCAGGGCTCGGTCTTTTTAAATGTGAATCCGACTGAGCCAGTGCACCTAAATAATAAATCCTCCTCAACCCCTCGGTCTCTCTGATTCCTGAATTATTCTGCAACAATTGCTGTTGTCAGGAATAGGAGTGGTTGCCCCTGGCTTCCCCATCCCAGGCTGGGCATCGGTGGCCCTAGAATGGTGCCCATAGGAGTGTCAGGGACATTTATTTTTTTTTTTGAGACGGAGTCTGGCTCTGTCGCCCAGGCTGGAGTGCAGTGGCGGGATCTCAGCTCACTGCAAGCTCCGTCTCCCAGGTTCACGCCATTCTCCTGCCTCAGCCTCCCAAGTAGCTGGGACTACAGGCGCCCGCCACGTCACCCGGCTAGTTTTTTGTATTTTTTTTTAGTAGAGACGAGGTTTCACCGTGTTAGCCAGGATGGTCTCGATCTCCTGACCTCGTGATCCGCCCATCTCGGCCTCCCAAAGTGCTGGGATTACAGGCTTGAGCCACCGCGCCCGGCCAGGGACATTTCTTTGAAAGTGTCACTTGCTGCCTGAGCCCCAGCTGCCAGATAACAGCAGTAAATGTCGGATGGTCTCCCAGGGCCACATGGGGGAGGCAGGAGACCAAGAAGTTGGGGAGAAAAGGAAAAAGAAAATCACCTGACATCGTTTGAGTCACCCGCAACTCCTCTGAGGATGAGTGTGGAGGAAATGACAGGGCCTCTCCCAGCATGCTCAGGCTAATCCTCTACCCATGTCCAGCAGTAGTGATCAAGATCACAGGTGCTTCTTCTGGCCCTGGAGAGGTGGGTGGACAGCTGGTCAGGGTTGGGCAGAGAGGAAGGCACTGCTCATTTCTCCCAGAAATGATGGGGACTCTGGAGTTCCCAGGTGCCTCGAAATCCTTCTTTTCTCCTCCTTCAGCCACACATTGAGCCCTGTCACTCTATCCCCTGAACATCTCACATAACAATGGCTAATATTTACATCACACTTCCTACATTCAACTCATTCAACGGCCTCAGGAGGCAGTTAATGTTGTTATTCCCATTTTATAGAAGAGGAAACGGAGGCTCCAAGAAGTTAAGTAACCCACCTCAAGCCACACAGCTAGTAGTAGGGGAGACAGGACTCAACCCAGGCAGCATGACTCTAGGACCCTCCTCTCTCCCCATGGGTCCCCAGTCCAGCTCTTCCTGTCGCTTCTTATCGGTTCCTAACATAGCCCCAGACAGTGCCTCCCTCCCACCTCCTGAGCAGCCATCAGCCTCTTCCTGAACCACATAGGTGGGAGGGCCACTCCCCACTCACCTCCACCCACATATGCCCTACCTCCATACCTTTGCTCAAGCCATTCTTTCTGTCCCCAAAGTCAGGAAGCCGGGAGGCAGAGGTTGCAGTGAGTCAAGATTGGGCTACTGCACTCCAGCCTGGGTGACAGAGTGAAACTCTGTCTCAAAAACAAGAGGCAAAAATACCTACCTGAGGGTCACATAAATTAAAGGTGGCAAGCCGGGTGCGGTGGCGCATGCCTGTAATCACAGCACTTTGAGAGGCCAAGATGGGCAGATCACTTGAGGCCAGAATTTCGAGAACAGCCTGGCCAACATGGGGAAACCCCGTCTCTACTAAAAATACAAAAAAATTAGGAACCATGCCATGATGCACAGGACAGAATAAATAAAGCATTATGATGGCCAGGCACAGTGGCTCACGCCTGTAATCCCAGCACTTTCGGAGGCAGAGGTGGGCAGATCACAAGGTCAGGAGATCAAGACCATCCTGGCCAACATGGTGAAACCCTGTCTCGACTAAAAATACAAAAATTAGCCGGGCATGGTGGTGCGCAGCTGTAGTCCCAGCTACTTGGGAGGCTGAGACAGGAGAATCGCTTGAACCCAGGAGGCAGAGGCTGCAGTGAGCCGAGATCATGCCACTGAACTCCAGCCTGGGGCGACAGAGACTCTGTCTCAAAACAAAACAAAACAAAAATTAGATGGGAGTAGTGGCACATGCCTGTAATCCCAGCTACTCAGGAGACTGAGGCACAAGAGTCGCTTGAACCTGGGAGGTGGAGGTTGCAGTGAGGGAAGATTGCACCACTGCACTCCAGCAAGGGCAACAGAGTGAGACTCTGTCTCAAAAAGAAAAAAAAAAAGTTAAAGGTGGCAAAGCCAGGACTGTCTGACCCTAAACCCCCCCTGCTTCCCAGCACACCCTACCTCCAAATGCTGTAGAGTGGACCCCCCTGGGCACTGCTCCCTGTGGGCAGAGCTCATTCAGCTTCCAAAGGATTTGGTAAAGGCCTAGAAGGAGTGGGGGTCCAGGAGGTGGCAACTGCAAAGGGCAGTGGGCATTCAGAAGCTGCCATCCATGGTCTCTCTTCTTCCTCCCAGGGTCTCCTTCTGAATAGGAGACCACTTGATATGACAGTGAGGAGCCTGGACAAGTCTGTTTGTAGCTCTGAGCCTTGGTTTACCCATCTGTAAAATGGGAAAATTAACACTCCTTGCTGGGTTATGGCAAAGAATAAATTATATAATGCACACCAAGTGTCTGGCAGAGGGGTCCCCTTTCCAATGCAAATCAAAGAAAATGACTAAGGTAAATGTCAATCCTTTTCAGAGGTTTATTTCCAAGGTTGGAAAAGAATACAGAAACAGAAAAAATCTGTGGTCTGTGCTTTTTCCTAAATGGGTCTGGGGACTTCAATATTTAAAGGGAAAAGAGTGGGTATTGGGCCGGGTGTGGTGGCTGACGCCTGTAATCCCAGTACTTTGGGAGGCCGAGGAGGGCGGATCACCTAAGGTCAAGAGTTTGAGACCAACCTGGACAACATGGTGAAACCCCATTTCTACTAAAAATACAAAAAATAGCCGGGCATGGTGGCAGGCGCCTGTAATCCCAGCTACTTGGGAGGCTGAGGAAAGAGAATCACTTGAACCTGGGAGGCAGAGGTTACAGTGAGCTGAGATCATGCCATTGTACTCCAACCTGGGCAACGAGCGAAACTCTGTCTCAAAAAAAAACAAAGAGTGGGGGAAAAAAGAAGAAAGAGAAAAAAGATGGGTAGATAAGAGGCAAGTGGTTGCATTCTTTTGAGTCTTTCATCACTTTCACTGAATACATTCTCCATGTGAGGCGGGGGAATAGTCACTTAAGCCTTGAGCTCAGTGAATCTGTATTGTCACATAAGATAAACATAGAGCAAAGGAAGAAATCAGATATGCATTTGTTGCAGGTGAGCAGAGGTATGACTTTGATTTCTGTCCTTTGTTCCATGCCTGTGAAGATAAGCTATTCACCGACATTGTCAAGGTGAAATTCAACAGAACTGGTTCAGGGGAAAGATCTCAGGGCTCACAAGGAATTTCCCTGTGGGCAAAATGTGAGGGAGGTATGTAGCCTTTTTTTTTTTTTTTTTTTTTTTTTAAATCTAGCTATCTCATTTAGAAACAAAATGGGACCCAGCGCAGTGGCTCACGCCTATAATCCCGACACTTTGGGAGGCTGAGGTGAACGGATCACAAGGTCAGCAGATCGAGACCATCCTGGCCAACATGGTGAAACCCTGTTTCTACTAAAAATACAAAAATTAGCTGGGTGTAGTGGCACGTGCCTGTAGTCCCAGCTACTCGGGAGGGTGAGGCAGGAGAATCGCTTCAACCAGGGAGGTGGAGGTTGCAGTGAGCAGAGATCTCGCCACTGCACTCCAGCCTGGGCTACAGAGCGAGACTCTGTCTCAAAATAAACAAATAAATAAAAATAAAAAGTAAGAAAGAAAATGGGGCCGAATGTGTTGGCTCATGCATGTAAT